GATTTAAAATATCCGAAAGAATTACATGATTTGCACAGCGACTATCCGTTGGCACCGGAACGTCTTCGAATAGGAAAAGTCGATAAACTCGTTCCGAAATTAAACGATAAGAAAAAGTATATCGTTCATCATACGACGTTAAAAAAATACATAGAATTAGGATTGATCGTGACAAAAGTTCATCGCGGTCTGATGTTTTCGGAAAGGGCATAGATGGCAGAATATATTCGGTTGAATACCGACTTGCGTAAAAAAGCCAAGTCCGATTTCGAAAGTAATTTTTTCAAACTGATGAACAATTCGGTGTTTGGAAAGACGATGGAAAATGTTCGCGATCGTATCAACGTAAAGCTCGTCAACGGTGAAAAGAAGTGGAATAAATTAGTAAAAAAAAGTTATTACGTCTCGACAGACATATATACCGAGCATTTAGCGTTGGTTCACATGCGAAGGACGACCGTTCGTTTGGATAAACCTATTTACGTAGGTGTTGCCATTTTAGATATCAGCAAGACGTTGATGTACGACTTTCATTATAATTACGTGAAGAAGAAATACGGAGAAAAAGCAGAACTTCTTTTCACAGATACGGATTCGCTTCATTACGAGATAACGACCGACGATCTTTTCAAAGATATTACACCCGACATCCGTCAGAAATTTGACACGAGTAATTTTCCAAAATCTCATCCGTCTGGAATTCCATGTGGAATTAAGAAGAAAGTCATCGGTATGATGAAATCCGAAACGGGTGAGGGACAGATTAAAGAATTTATAGGATTACGACCAAAATCATATTCAACACTCGACGACGATGGAAAAGTGATTAAAAAATGCAAGGGAGTTAAAAAATGTGTCGTGAAAAAAGATTTGACGCATTAACATTATAAAGATGTTTTATTCGGTGAAATAGAAAGACGTGTAGGCATGACGACACTTCGTAGTCATTATCATAACATTTATACCGAACGTTTAGTAAAAACAGCACTTTCGGCCAGGGACGACAAGCGGTATATTTTAGACGATAAAATTCATACGCTGGCATTAGGTCATAAAGACATTCCTGAAAAAGAACGTACATTATCAAAGATCGACTTGGAATATCATGGAACTTGTGAATTTCCTTCTGTCCAGGAATTGGAAGAACTGAGAAAGTTGGAGGAACCGATGAAAGAAGAAGTACCTATCGAAGAAAAAAGAGAACTTCGGGTTTTTAGTATTCCTGCAACGACGGAAGGAATAGTGAATTTTGCACGCGAGAGAATTACACAGAAAGCATCGAAAGGAAACTGTAGTATATCTTAGTGTTTTCTGTAAAACCTTACAAGTAAATCCTGGTAAGAACTTTCAACAAAATCAAAGATTGACTTGAAAGATCTTACAAGTAAGTCTTGGTAAGAACTTTCAACAAAATCAAAGATCGACTTGAAAGATCTCACAAGTAAAATTAAAGTAAATTTCAAGTCCGTCCTACAGTTCCTTCCAGGCAAATTTTAAACAAAGTTAAACAAAATAAAAGTATTTCCATACAATAAAGAAAATGACCGAAGTAAATCCAGAATCTGTTCCGGTGACCAAACCCACAGATCCATGGAAAAAAATCAAGGATCCACGCCGTGTCGAAGCGGGAAAAAGATTGGCAAAAATAAGTCAACAGGCCAAGGCTGCGAAAAAAGCAAGGGCCGAAGAAAATTTAAAAGCAGAAGTTCGTGACGAATGTACGATGAAAAATGAAGGTGGATGGATTTCCGTCGAGAAATTATGTTTGGTTCTCGGTGTGGGAATCGGGTTGGGATCGTTGTATTTAAACTGGCAGAGTCGTCGCGACGAGAAAAGTCCTGCGAAACAGGAGGATGAAATTATCGACGAGAATAACAACGATGTGGAAAAAGATTCTTCGAAAGAACCGTTCGACGACTTGTTTGATTGAAATGGGAAGATGCCCATTTTGGGCATCTTCCCACAATGCATCCCAGTAATTCGTAAGCTATTTATAAGAAAATCTATACGATAATAAAAGATGAGTATAGAGTTATTTACCATTCCGGGACTGTTGGGAGCTGGAGAGATTACCACTGTTAAATCTGATGATGGAACAATCTATTTTGCAGCAAAGGAAATAGCAGCCGCTCTCGGATATATTAGGACACAGAATGCCATTGATAGGCATACGGAAGAATGGATGAGAACCACACTTGGTGAAATAAAAAGGGCCCCGTTTCAGGGCCCTTTTTGTGTGTCCGGTAGTATACATCCCGGAAGGGTGTTTGTTACCGAACCCGGTTTATATAGTCTTGTGTTCGGTTCAAAACTATCCTCAGCCAAGGATTTTCAACGATGGGTATTCAAAGATGTTCTTCCCTCCATTCGAAAAACTGGGAAGTATGCATTACCCGGTGTTGTGGGTAAGCTTAAAAGTATCGAAGATAGCGAGTTATACCGTCTTGAAGGACCGGAACGGACAGAAGTAAAGAGTGAGCTGACCCGTAAGACTAACCTTATGAAAGATCCGGAAGCAGTTTTACGTGGGAAAAAGGGTGGATTAGTCGCGCAGGAAAATAACAGACAAATTAAAATAAAATTATACGAGAAGGAAATAGAAGCTCTCGTACTCGAAGAAGAACTGGACGAACGAGATGAAAAAATACGCGAACTCGAAGACGAGAACGAAAAGCTCTGGATCGAAAATAAAAAACTTAAAGAACGATAGAAAATTTTTTTTATTTCTTTCACCCAAGAAATAAAAGAGAGAATGTCTGATCTGAATTTGCTTGGTATTACCTTACTGACCGCAGGTATTTTTAGTTTTTCACATACCCTGGATAAGATGACGAGTTTATTGATGCCAGGAAAAAGTGCGATGACGTCGGGTCTTGTCGTTGGTGGAGGTACGTTTGTCATAACGTATTTAATGAGACTTAGAAACGAAGTATCATCCTTGGAAAATGAAACGGACGAACTCGAAGACGAGAACGAACGACTTCGGATCGAAAATAAAATTTTAAAAGAACGATAAGAAAAAAAATATTTTTATTTCTTTTTCTAAGAAATAAAAGAATATCTGATACAACCAAAAAAGAACTCGTCCAGGATTTATACGACGCTGCGCTTTTAACGACCGGAGTCGTTGGAATTTCGTACATGGCAAAAACAATTGCGGGGAAAAGTTTGGGGGCACCGATGACGTTAGAAGGTGCGATGAAATTGGGTGTGGCCGTGGCGGGAAGTTCCTTTGCCGTGGCCTATCTCAAAGACAAAGGTTACGTTCCCAAAACAATCGGTAAATAAATGACAACCAATTTAGTAGTCGGTGGATTATTCAATGCGGTCGCATTTGCAGGCGCGGGATTTTTATTTTCCCATTTAAATCAAAACGGATACAAGGAAGAAGTGAAAAGACATAATCACGCGTTGGAAGAATTAGCGGCGGCCAAAGATAAATTTTACGAATCCGAAGTGAAAAGACGGAACGACGAATTACGACGACGGCAGGAAATTTTAGATGCGAATCACGATATCGAAGAGACGAATAAAGCGTTGGATGTATTAAGAAATTATAATCGCCCACAGGATCTAAATGCATTGGATCGTAAACCGAAATTCGAAGATTATTATCAACCGTCGGACGAAATGCAAAAATATATGTACGTGACCGTTGGAATTCTAGGGGTGGGAAGCGGATACGTCTCGACGCGAATTTTTTAAGATGAGAAAGATCTTAAAAAATTTTCTAGGTTGTAACGAGAAAATATTTTAAATCTGTTGCTTCCGTCCGGTTGGTTACTTTTCCCGTCGAACTTACATTTTTAAATTCTAGTCCGATTACTAATATTTTGTTACTACCGTACGCAAACATGAACGTCGTACGAACGATTACGCTTCGTGTTGTTACTGCGTTTATAACAACATTACCACCACTTCCATTGAAAAATCCGTAGAGGGGTGAATAGGCTCTGGAATTTATTTCGTATCCACCCACACCGAAAGTGATAAATTTTGCCCTCTTCCTGTCGGTCACGGAAATTAAACCGGTTTCGTAATACCCCGGAACACCTATTATTTGTGGAACGTCGTACTGAACGTAATTTTTTCCAAGATCGTTTAGTTCACCAACCGCACTCACATTTTTTACGATCTCGGCCGTATTCGCCTGCTGTGTCTTTTCGATCTCCGTCACTTTTTTCTTCAAATCTTCGGACTCGTCAAAGAAGTCGTATCCCATCAATATACTCATTTATTTGAATAGAAAATAAGCAACTCCCATCGATGCAACGGCAAGAATTTTCAAAGTGGATGGATTTTGTAAATTTTTATCTCTCGTAGGACTTGTCGAAGTTTTCACGGGACTTGTTATAGAATTTTTCGCGGGACTTCTTATAGAATTTTTCGTGGGACTTGTTATAGAATTTTTCGTGGGACTTTTTACGGGACTTGTCACTGGATTTTTCATCGGACTCTGTTTTGTAAAATTCACCTCGTCATTTTTTCCAAAACTCATTCCACTTTTGGCCAACGTTAAAATATTGTTGTAACCTTTCAATGGTTTCTGTAAAATCCGCATGTCGGACGGAATGAGAATCAGACCGGGCATGATCGCAAAATTCAACACGACGTTCGTATCCGCGATCGCCGTACGCATGTTCCGAATGATCGTCGTGATATCGTTCTGAACGATACTGTCTTTTAAAACTTTTCGAAACACGTCTTGGGTCTGTAAACTTTTTGCACCTTGTCCCGTGATACTCCAACGGGTTTTGGCTTGTGCTCCGAGTACCGCGTAGACGTAAACTTCCAGACCCTGTTGAAATAACCGTTGTCCCAACTTCGTCAATCCACGCGATGTTTTTGGAATGAATATTTTATAATCTTCCGCGACATTTTTCGGAAGTCTTTTCGTTAAAAATTCGTACGCGATATACGTTCCACCGTAACGCGTTCGAACGTAACGCTGGTTTCGAATTTTACGTCGCGTATCGACGGGTAAATCGTAATACCACGTTCCAAGATTAGCATGGGTCGGTACCGTTCGTCGTTCCCACGTTTCGATCGTCGGCATGTATTTTTTCAGGACGAGAAGATCGTCTTCGTTCAAATAATGATCCATTAATCTTGAATCTTTCATAAATTTTTCCGTCTGATAATGAACGTGAAATTTCACGATGGCCGTGATCAGGTGGGAATTGGATAGGGTATTATTCAGATGATTTTCGGAAATTCCAGATTTAAAGGTCGCAATGTAACAAGCTGCCAACGATCGAAAATAAGAATTTTGATGATAGTCGAACGGAATTAAATTTACAAAATTTCCCGTTCCCGTGTACTCGGGTTTCGTATATTCTAGGTCCACGGGAAAAAAATCTGTTTCCGAGACGTAAATGGGAAACGTGTGAAAATTTACGGCAAAGTCTAAATTCGGACGGAATATCATATCGGATTTAACATTTCGCCATCCATCTTTCCAATATAAATATTTGGTCCAGTCTGGATTATGCAAGAATGTTTCTGATGTAATATCGTAAACGGTGAATTTATCCACCTTGTACCAAATATTCGTAGAATCCAGGGTCCCATCTTTTTTAAAATCCACTTCGAAACTAAATTTTTCCATTGTTGCGTTGGGATATTTTTTAAGGAAAATAGTTTTAAGTTTCTGAATTTCTAACGGATAAGCTTTTCGAACCTTCTCGTAATTCTTTCCGTAATAGTCACGGAAAACTTGTTCTTCCCCTTCCATCTTTATTTCCTAGACGATATACAAATCCATTAAAGCATTGCACGGTGTAATTCCATCGACGTTGGATTTTACGTCGAAATGAAGTTCGTGGTAAATCCCCGCATCGGCCCGAACTTCACTTTCGATGTCGTTGTATTTCGTCGTCGTTCCAAATAAAGGTTTTGTTCCGTCGATGGGAAGGGACGATATGATACTACTCGGATAGCCGTCGGAATTTATATTTTGGGATCGGTTCGCTAAATTACAACCGATCGTCACGTAACGTAATCCTTCGTGAATATCCACATGATGCTGACCCGGATGTAATTCTGAAAATGTCGTATATCCCAGCAGACGACCTAATTTCCACGGATTAAAAGATTTGACACTTTTTCCAAATTTTATTTGCATTCGTCCGTCTGGAAAATATTCGACGACGAGACCGTGACTTTCTAATTTTTGACGCAATTGATTAAACGTCCAGTATCCATGGTTCAACATGACTTTTTTCTTATCGACGGAAAAATAATTATTGTAGTTTTTACGAATATTTTCGTACGTCCAGAATAAAGCAACGGTTTTGACGTAGAGTTTGGATGTCGATGTTAAAATCAACGGACTCTGTAATTTCATCGTAGTTTCTCCGTCCCGAATAAAAACTGTAATCTTTTTCATTTATTATAAAACTATGGATACATTGGATCTTGGTTTACGCGAACTCTATTTTAACGTCAACGGCGGTTACATGTCGATGGAAAAACTTTACAGGGATGCGGTGAAAGAAGGTATTCCAGGCGTCACGCGTGAAAAAGTGAAGGCGTGGTTACAGACACAAAATACGTACATCGTTCATAAACCGACGCGTGTTCATTTTAAAACGCAACGGACGGACGTCGATGGACTTGCCCAACAATTACAGTTGGATCTCGTCGATATGCAAGCGTACAGTCATGCAAATAAAGGTTACAAATGGATTTTAACCTCCATCGAAATTTTAAGTCGGTATGCATTTGCTGTCCCCGCCTATCGAAAAGGAGCGAAAGATATGGTACCGGCCGTCGAAAAAATCCTGGAACAATTTCACGAAAGATTTGGACGCTATCCAAAAGTCGTTCAATTTGACGAAGGGAGTGAATTTTACAATAACGGAGTCAAAGGATTATTGGAAAAACACGACATTCATTATTTTTCGACGCGACTGACCGGAAAAAAAGCAGCCGTCGTCGAAAGATTCAACAGGACGTTAAAAACAAGAATGTGGAAATATTTTACCGAACAACAATTTACGACCAAGTCAAAAAAATGGATCGATGTTCTGGATAATTTTGTTGCATCGTACAATCATTCCAGACATCGAACCATCGGTATGAAACCTTCCGACGTGAACGAAACCAATAAAGATAAAGTCTGGACAAAACTTTACGGTTATCCCTCGTCTCATTTTCCAGAACCAAAATTTAAAGTTGAAGATCGTGTCCGAGATCAAATCTATCGCGATACTTTTGTAAAAGGATACAGGTCGAATTATACCGTCGATGTTTACGTCGTGTCGGAAGTGTTTCGCGGTGATCCCAACATGTATAAACTCATCGATCCCGACGATGACGATCGTGAAATTCAGGGAAGATTTTACGAGCACGAATTATCGTTGGATCTAAGTGGTAAATAAACTATGGCCGAATATATCGAACTCGACGAGATCGGAGGGGATTACGATTGGGATCCGTGGGAAGGAAACGATGGATATGACTATACGGGTTTGGACGACGACGACTTGTACGAAACAGAATTGGACGATCTGGAAAGACGGGATGATGAAGTATGGCTGACAGATTTTAAAAGACAGAACGAAGGTGATAGGTTCACGAAAAGAAAAAAAGAAACCAATTCCCTGTACACGACTGGATCTTCTGTCGGTATAAAATCCGAGTATATGAAAAAACTTTTTGGGAACGACTATCAATTAAATCCGAATGACGGACCTTATTCAAAAGATTTATTTTCCAGATTAAATATTATCGATGGATACTGGCTGTCATTTGATAATATTAAAGTCGCTTACATCGAAAAAAATGGGGAATACAAACTATCCACAACTCAAAATGTAACTGTTACCGATAGCCAGAAAAATTTTAGATCTGTCTTTGAAAAAGCAACGGAAGAACATAAAAATAAATTTGTCAGTATCGTGGAAAAAGAAGTTCCGGAGGGAAATCCATCGATCCACGACGATATTTCCGACGATGTGCGTTATGAAATTCATCGTGAAAATATCCACGATAATCTTGAATTTCACGAACGTGTTTTACGGTTTCATCGCGATGGAAAATTCACCGAACAGGAATCTAGGGAACTGGTCGGAATTACCGTTCCCAAAGGACAGCCCGACGAACGGATTAAATATTTTAAGGTCGAACGTCAGAAACTTAAAACAGATTTTGAATCCGAATCCGATCCAGAACGTAAGAATATTTTTCGCGAGGCGTTAGAGATCGTCGATCAAAATATCGACGATGCGAAACTGGAAATGCGCGAACGACCCGAATCCGAAGAAGGCGTGCATCGTGTTCGTGAAAAAGTACGCGAGGATGTACGGACGAGATTTGAGAAATTTAAAATCTGGGCCAGGGAAAATTTAGGAGTTTTATCCGCGATCGCTATTTCCATCGCAGGAATTATTACGACCGTCGTCGTCGCCGGAAAAAAGACGCTGGTCGGTGCTGCAAAAGGCGTGGGTGAAGTCGGAAAAGCGTTGGGAAAAATTGCAAAAGCTGCGCTTCCCGTTCTAATTCCCATTTTGAATATGTTGGCGACCGTTTTGAAATGGGGGGCGAAAGGAATAGAATTTCTTGCTAAAAATCTATGGATTCTTGCCATTTTCATCGCCGGATATTTGTACAATTATTTCGCGAAAAGTAAAAAGTAAATTTTTTTATTTCATTCCCATGAAATAAAAGAATGGAAACACGTACCCAAGAACTTAATCCTAGTTTTAGTCGTCGATCCAGGACGGAACTGACTGGAAACCGAACGCGGCATTTGTTTACGTTCAATCCGAATTCGGCAAAACCCGGGGAAGAAATCTACGTCAATATTCCAAAACTCAAACCGGATTCTGTTCTGGTTCCCGATAGTATGGCATTAATTTTTGACTTTAAAAATGCCAACGAAAAATCATGGTTCCGAAATAACTTGGGAAAATTATTACAGAAAAGATTAGAGATTCGTCTTGCCGGTGAAAAAGTTTACGATAACAGCGGTGAAAGTTTACTGGAAATTTACAAGGACTTGTGGATGGACGAGAAACAACGCGCGGATAGGATACAGGATGGAATTACGACCGAAGCCGTTCGTAAGAAAATCTCCAAGGACGACGAGGCCAATGCCGATGCCGATGCGACTGCACTGTTTGGAATTTTCGGAACGAAACAACGGTTGAAGATCACGAAGATCTTAGGCGATCACGGATTGTATGCTCCGTATCATTCGGTCAACGATCTTCAATACGTGATCACGTTACCACAAGCGTCCGAAATCATGAATGCACAAAGCGGTGAAACCGTCGATGGATATTCTTTGGAAAATTTGGAATTGGAATACGAAAGTATCGAAAATGTGAATCTTGCACGAAAATCCGAATGTCTCTACGGAGCCGAACGCGAATTATCTTTCGAACATGTCACGTTGATGAAAAAGACCGAATGGGATAAAAGTCTGACGATCGTGAACGAAACCGTGAATCTTCCGCGACGAAGTATGAAAGCCATCGTCATGCTTTTCACGGAAAAAACACCGACCGACAGCGAAGAATACGTCTTTCCAAATATCGATAAGGTGAAAGTCACGATCGAAGGTGTTCCGAACGTCGTGTACAGTCAGGGCATGACAAAGACGCGAATGTACGAAGAAGCCAAACGTCTTTTTGGATCCGATTCGAACGGACAACAGTCTCTGATTAAATTTTACAAGGATAAAAAGTTTGCATTGGTCATCGACTTGCGAACGCCAAACGATGCCAAGACGTACGGAAACGGAGTGAAGATTCAAAATACACAATCTGGAATCCTGATCGAAATTATGAAAAAAGCGACGATGACCAACGTCCTTTGTTACACGTTCGTTCTTTCGGACGGCGTGATTAAAATGACCAACGGACAATTGAGCGGCGTGCGATATTAAAAAATGATGGAAATCACTATATTTTCATATTTTTAAAATATGAAAAAAATCCCTATTCTGTTTTTTCATCCTCTTCCTCTTTTACGTCTTCCATACCTTTTCTTCTTACGTACATGTGTTTCATCTTCGTCACGCTGCCGCTAAAAATTCCCTGGTACGGAATGTACGGCGATGTTTTTTCCACGAGACTTTTCACGTCGCTTTTAAATAATTTGTCCTGGTTTAATTCTTCTTTTAATTCTTCGCCGCTATCGATCATACGAATATTTTCCAACAATCCCGAAAATTTTTCGATCAGGACATCTGTTAGCAAAACGTTGGCTTTTTCGTGTTGATTACGAATGTATTCTCGCCTGATCTTAAAAATGACATTGGGCGTTGCTTTTTTCAGATAGGCTTCGGACTGTTTAATCTCACCCGAGTTTGATAACTGGATTAATTCGGTCCTCGTATCCTCAAATAATTCTTGTTCCGTTCTTTCAGGATTCTCTTCTCCTTCCATTTTACTTATACTTTATTTCATAACGATATGGATGAATTAAATTTATTTCCAGGTACAAATATTTATTTTCTTTTAACTTTTCGCGAATGGATCTTAGTTTCTGCGGATTTTCGTCCCCCAAATATTCGTCCAAGATAATTTTCATATCCTGTCTGTTCGGATTGTAAAACGTCACCAGTTTCTGAATATTTTTGCGGTACGGTTTGGCAATCGATGTCAACTGTTGTGTGATCACGATCGTCGAAATCTGGCGATGACGTGCACCGAATCCTAATTTCACCAATTCGCTCGTACGATTCTTTACGGATTTTGTACTGGCACAATCGTCCAGGATAATCAATGCATCTTTTCCGGACGCAAAATACACGACGGATTTTAACAAATCTTCCACGTCGTCGTGATGACACGGAATGACAAAAAAGTTGGGATCGTTGTAAATAAAATTCTGGTCGTACGTCCTGTTCCAATGATACGTCGGACAGATTAAAAATATTTCGGAAAATTGACGAAAATACGTCGTCTTCAATTCTTCGATCAAATAATATGTTTTTCCACACGCCGTCATTCCCACGACGATCATGTTAAACGGGTTCATTTAATTAAAAGATGGGATGCCTTTCTTCAAAATCCGAAAGTGTTGTTAAAGATAATAAGAATCACAAGAGACGAAAAATGTTCAGTTTGGGATTCGGATTCGATCGCGGGGATGCAACGACAAGCATTCATACGCAGATCGGATACGTCAGTACGACCGTTAAAAACTACGATGGAATAAATGAAATTATTCCTGTGGAGAATGTTACTGTGGACGAGTCTGATCGGTTGTCTTCTGATCCCGATCACGTTCGAACTGTTGTTGATCCTGATCATCCTGAATAAATTTTAATTTTTAATAAAAATTAAAATTTCTCACGCGGACGGTGTGTAAACCGGTAATTCTTCTTTTTTCTTTTCTTTCTCGCGACACATCTTGATCAACTTTGTACATACGAATAACAAGATGGATAATGCAGACGAGGCACAGATGGCACGTCGCGTACAAAACGTCGGCTTCTCTTTCCGTTAATCTCACGTTCGGAATTTCCGTTTCGTTGCTGCCCGCTAATTTCATCGCGGAATAAAGTACCGTTGTTGCTGGATTCATTCTTTTATTTAACGGGATTTTTTTAAATGTTTTTTACATTAAAAAATTAATTTCAATCTAATCCTGTAAAAGTCTTTTTCTCGGTGCCTTTGGTTTTTCTTCCGTTATACTTGCTTCGTATAATTTTACCTGAATAGTAGTTGTTTTCCCGGATACAAAAATTCCCTTGATTCGAATGATCGCATCGATACAAAATCTTTTATCCAAGTATTTTTCGGAATCGATGGGATTGTTCCCTTTCGGTTCGTATATTTCCGTTTCGTTATCGATCTTTGGGTACAAGATCGGGGTGTTGTCTTTTCGATAAAGACATTTCATTATCTTTTCGTCGGGTTTACCGACATGTTTTGCACATTCTTTTTCTATTAATTCTAAAACCGAGATAAACTCGGGTTTTTCAAAAAGAGATAAGGAGACGGAATATTTTTCCCTGTCGAATTTACTCCTACTCACTCCGTAGGATCTACAGTTCGTAACCTTTAGTAAAAGAGGTCCTTGATCGCATGCCGTTAGATTTATGGTTTTAGATCCGTAACTGTTCCCAACGGCATCTTCGAAACGGAACGAATCTTTGGTGAAGTCCGAGACTTTGGTGATAGACATTTTTTTTCCTTTATTATAGATTTTTTTATTCGTATAAGGTGTTACGGGTTCACCCAATTTTCCACAATTCCCGTAGGGAGGCATGCCGGGTTTTTTTCAATACTCCGAACGACTATTGAAAAAATGGCAGGTAGTAACTCTGGTTCCGGATTTCTACGATCTTTTTCTTTATACTTTTTTTTTATTTATATAAGGTGTTGATGGTTTTTTTTAAAAAAAAAAATTTTCCAAGAATGAATCTTGGGAAAAAAAAAAAAAATTCCCGGGGAATGGATTTATGGAAACTATTTTCTAAAACTTGGGAATGAATCTTGAAAAAAAATCCTGGGATGAATTTCCGGAAAATCTTAAAAAAATTATGGGGACGATTTTTCTAGAAATCTCGGGAAAAAGTCCTGGGGATGAAATCCCGAAATCCTGGAGAAAAAATCCTGGGGACGAAATCCCGAAATCCTGGAAAAAAAATCCTGGGGACGAAATCTAGGGATGGGGACTAAAAGGACCAAGGGGTTAAGGGATGAAGGGATGAAGGGCTGAAGGGCTGAAGACACTATATTTTGTATAACATGAAGTTTGTGCTCAGATCGGCTTTTTGACACTACTGCGGGATAGGGAGGCAGAGTTCTCACGGAGGAGCCAAGGAGAAATCTCATCTGGACCTGCCGCCGAATGAGATTTAGCACGTTATTCCATTATGACCGTATGCTAGTGAAACGTAGCCTATTTCATTGTTCCGACAGCATTAGAGCAAAACTAATGACTTATAATTATAAACGCAAAGGAAATTTCCAAACATTTTCTATTTACAAATGCGGTATGCTTGGTAACCAGGCCAGGGACCACTTTTTTGAAATCAGGGACCATTTTACCGAAATCTGCTAGGCTCTCTCGCTGAAGCGTTCCGCACAGCACACCCAGGCATAAAACTTTTAAGACTTATTTAAATACATCAAATCAGCGATTAGAGAGAGAGCCTGGGTCTAAGCTGTCTCTGATATATACCGATGCTCCTTTACGGAGCAAGAGAGTGAGGAGTCAAAAGATGCCGTGGCTTACTGATACAATAAAACTCAATATGAATCGTAGAGACTATTTTAAGAAAAAAGCGGTAAAATAATTATTTGTGGTATCATAATGCATAGAAGGCTCTACGTAATGAGATAACAAAGATGTCATTTGGGATAAAAGGAAACATTATGTAAAATCAATTGAGGAAAACATGGGAAACCCTAAACTTATGTGGAAACACTTAAATTGTCTGCTAAATAGAAAGTGTAAACGTACTGGTGTACAAGCCATTAAAACTGACGAGGGAGACGCTGCGATAGCCCTTTTTGAGAGCCAGTCAATAGCCGAACTGTTTAATGAGTATTTTTCTAATATTGGTTCATCCTTATCAAACCAAATAACAAGCATAAATAGCCAGGGTTTTGAAAGTTACATGACGCATGAAGCTTCTGGAATATTTGAATTTGCGACTGTTGTTAGCACAATTGTACTTATTGAACTGGAAAAATTAAACTCGTCTAAATCGACAGGCCCAGATAATATCCCAGTTAAACTGTTAAAAGACTCCAAAGAGACACTTGCACCTTTCTTGGCATATATATTTAATACTTCCCAATGTAGTGCGATATTCCACGATAACCTTAAGGTGGAAAGAGTCTCACCAATTTATAAAGAAGGTGATAATAATAATAAAAAAATAATAATAATAATGGTTTAATAGCATTTCCACATTGTGGCTATTCTATGCTACAAAAGGTTACATGCATAGATTATGACAACATTAAATTACTACAATATTATAGTATACTAGAGACCTATACTTTACAAGAGATAATCAAACGACAAAAACGAAGCGAAACAATGGACACATTACGTAACAATATAAACACATTGTATTGCATACTAAATGTTACTAATTTTGTTCATTGCTAAGTCTTTGAAATGAGCGAAACAATTTCGGCAACACTCTCTAAAGTTATTACTGTTCCGAATGGCTTCGCGAAGATCGTTGAACATCCGAGCAGCCTCGCCTGGAAAGGTACCAGAGACACGTGGAACGACCAAGCCACGGGAAGACGATGAACGCAGAGGTCTTGAAGGCTCACAGTCGTCAAATTTTAGGTACGAGGGCCAGTCACTGGAATGAATGGCTTTAAAGACTAGTTTGGCTAAATGATAGTCCCTACGTTCCACAACAGGAAGTCAACCAAGGGAGAAGAAGTCACTCATACTGGCATATTTCCGCAATACAAAACCTGCAACAGCCAACTGCATTCGTTGTAAACGTTTTAGTAAGTAATCAGGAACTGGATTGCACACAACATCGTCATAATCTAATTTTGACAAAACTAGACTCTCTGCAAGTTGTTTCCTGATATTATATGGTGCTAAATATTTCAGCTTTCTCAGAACCGATAATATGCCTTAACACCCTGAAATCGTCCTATTTACGTCATCGTTCCATTTCAAATTCTGCTGCATTACAGTGCCAAGAAGAAGCGTATTGTTCGTTTGTTTAAGTTCAACACCATTGGCGTGAAGATGGATGGAATGTTCTTCAAGATGATGACACGAGAGAGCTGAGTTGTATAAAAGGGAATGACTTTCGTTTTCTTGGGGTTAAGGACAAGGTTGTTGGAAATAGACTAGGTTGAGAGATCATCAAGGTTAGACTGAATGTTATTTTCACACGAGTTTATTTCAGCTGGCTTGCAATTGGAATAGAGGGAAGTGTCATCAGATACTGTTGAGAAGATATCGTAGGTTCAAGATTGTCGGAAAGATCGTTCACATAGAGGTTGAACAGAACAGGACCAAGAATGGAACCTTGTGGAAGTCCAAAACAGACTTCGGTAGTCCTTGATACCGCTTCATCGATTTGTACAAACTGGCGTCGTCCAGTGAGGTAGCTTGTAACCCGCTTGGGGTAAACTTTGGAGAATCCTTGCCGGTGAAGTTTGCTCAAGATGCTCGAATATGAAACAGTATCAAATGCTTTGGGGAAGTCGGCAAGGACAGCTATGGTAACTTCACCTCTTTTCATAGCTCGATAGTAGTAGGGAATGGCGGGTTCTGACTATGGTAGTACTTCATGTTATACAAATTATAGTGGACCACAATTCTATTACGCACCTCCTACACGCATCTGATGACGCCACTTTCGGTTTATAACGTAACGTAACGTATGACGTCACCACCAACCCCCACCAACCCCCCCCCAACCCCCACCAACCCCCACCAACCCCTACCAACCCCCACCAACCCCCACCAACCCCAACCAACCCCTCGCACCCCTTTCGGAACCCTCACCCCACCGACCACTCTTCCCCCTCTCGCGCAAACCCAAGCGCAACTTTTTCCACCACGCATGCGCAAACCCCCGCACCACGCGTTTGTTAGAGTCTTCCCGAAGTCTTTCCCAAGTCTTCCCAAGGTCTTCCCGAAGTGAGCTCTCGACCCCTGAGATCGGTCTATTTTCCATCGTGTTATCTGCAGAATTTGGACAGAAAAATTTGCATTCGACGGAAAATAAATCGGAAAAAAATATTAATATTAAAATTTTCTTGCAAAATTTCAAGTGTAGTGGTACTACGGCTAAAGATCTGGTGATATCTGAAAAAATCTCTGAGGTAAATGTTATTTTCAATATTATTTTGATGTTTGAAGTTAGTCGACTCCCCGCGACGTGTTGACTCAAGTCTAAATATGTTTACAATGTTTAAAATGAAATATTTAGAATTCCCACGGTTCGATTTTCTTCATTTTTGGTAGTCGTCAAGACAAAAGTATAAACTTTAAATCTGCTGGAATGATCCCGGTGATCTCCCGGCAGTTTTCGAGATATTGACCGTTAAAGTGACTATTGTCAACTCGACGTTCGCTAAAATGGCGTCTAATACCTTGGAAAGAAAATGCGCCATCAAAGATGATATTTTCAATGAATTTTTGTTAAAGTGTTAAAATATTATTTAGAAGACTTAGGAGTTGTTTTAATATTTTTTTAGAATTTATATCTGTGCGATTTTCAAAGTTTTGTTGTCTTTGGCCGACGCGACTGGATCGTGTACGTACTTCAAGACGAGCTGATCGCCTGATACTGGGGTTTTTGTGGCAAAATCGAGCTGCGGAATCCTCAGCATGGAGAAATCAGTGTCATAACAGCCCATTTCAAGCCAGCAGAGAGCTTCACTTGTTTTAAAGCAATAAAATAAGTTTTTATGTATCATATAACAAATTATTAAAGTGGCATGTTATTGTGGGTTTCCCTGCTGGCAGTGGTTTCTGAGCTGAAGTGGGATCTCGGATCAATTTAATACTGAAACATTATATAAATAGACATCTTCTTGTTTTATTGTTGCATTAATTTTAATCTGAAAAAATACTCACAAAGTAGGTCAAGTGTATGAATAAATCTTCATTTATTTACTAAAGTACATTTTTTACAGTTATTTATGTACTTAGGGGCTGATTGCATGGAGAGTTTTCAGCCCGGGCTGAGTTTCAGCCCGGTTAAGCGAGCTGAAATTGCATCACCATTACATGAGCAGTTTCAACCCGGGCTGAGTTTAGTCAGTGCTATATTTATCTTCAACCCGGGCTGAAATGTCAGCCCGGGCTGAAATAATCTGAGTGTCACGAAATAGGACAATAAGCGTGTTACGCTTCTTTGAAGCATTCAGACGCTGATTAGTCCACTATTTGACTTGTGTGAGACTGTGGTTATATGTAAAGTATTTAAAAATTAAACAAACACGCAAAATAAAGCAATTTAAACGGTTGCTTTTTAGCCCGGGCTGAAATTATTTGCGATTACATGCATGCCGGGCTGAGTTTCAGCCTGGGCTGAAATTTCAGCCCGGACAGCTCAAACCGGGCTGAAATTTCAGCCCGGGCTGAAACTCAGCCCGGGCTGGAATTTTGGTCATGTAATCGCTTGCTGTGTTTTAATAGGATTTTATGCTTAGGCCGGGCTGAAATTTCAGCCCGGGAAACCGGGATGAAACTCAGCCCGGGCTGAAAACTGTCCATGTAATCAGCCCCTTAGTCTTATTTGCATGAGTGTACATGACAGATTGGTTTAATTAGATATACCCAGTTATCATTCATAACCTATGGTTTGTTTAAAAAATGCTGGAAAAAACTAAAAAAGTTAGCCAATTGAAATAAATGCACTAATAACTTGCTAAACATAGCTTGGTAGTTGCTATTTATTATATAAAAAACATCTGTCAACATACACTCATGCTTTTTCCTACCACTCGAATCTCCACTCACCAGGGGCCGGTTGTTCAAAGCTGGGTTAGTTTAACCCATGGTTAACCTAAAATTCGAAGCAAACTTCCTGAGAGCTTTTCTATAAATTTGGAAATATTTCTTCAGAGATCTTGTCTGGATCAATAGGAGTATACTTCTCTGAAGTTTTGAAATACACAGATCTATGTGTAGAAGACTAGAAGTACACAAACTAAAACAGCAGGTTAAATTTTAACCCAGGGTTAGCACTAACCCACCTTTGAACAACCGACCCCAGGTGTCTTTATGAAAATTTTTGGATAAAATCCTATTTTTAATTAAAAAAGTCAACCCTATACTTGATACACTGAACATAGACATCCACGACATCTCCTGCAGCAATTAGTGGGTGCAAATACTTGCATAGTTTAGAAGCAATTAACCAACATGTGTCCATACAGTTCCATAGTCTAGATCAAATAGGCAATTCCAGCTTTTAATTTATGCATGCAGGGGGTGACGGGAAGTAAGGTATCATATTGCTGATTATGCTGAAAAATTTTAATAAACTACCTACACAACCAAAATATTTCAATATTTACAATAGCTATCTATCCATGTTTACATGGCCACCATTTCTATTTTTCAGCATTATCAGCAATATGATACCTTACTTCCCATCACCCCCTGCATGCATAATCTAAAAGCTGGAATTGACCATTGCACTTGGGTCCCTTGGATTCAATGGTGCTGGCCGTATTCTTACATTGAATTCACTGTTTTATCTTGTTTATGAAGAGCGAGGTATTATGCCTTAATTTTCCAAATGATGTCAGTAGTTTTTCTCATGAGCAGCACCGATGCACTTGAATGGTACAGAGTGGGCAATTTCTTCCTCCCCATCACTTTCATCTTCATCACTTAACTTGTCATCACTTTCTGCCCCATTACCTTGATCACCTATCATATACATCTTGAACAGGTTCAAGACCAGCCAACCACTCAAGTAAATCTCTTTCTACAAAATCATAACAAGGAAATTATTATTTGATACATTGTCATCTCTAAAATTAGCAAAAATATACAAACAGCAATATTTAGATGAAAATTTAAAAAAATATTAAATTACAGTTTGCACATTTAAACAACCACCCACAACTAGATACAAACAGGCATCACACTAAGCAAAAATTTATAAAACCATACAAATAACTGAATAACAATATACCTTCAGACTCATCTGAGAACCAATGTTCATCATCTGAATGTTCATCATCAATTCTTTTCGCTGTCAATATATGATCCACATCGAAATCCAAAATCAAAAGCAGATGCTGGGTGTTTTCGTTAGCAAACTCATCAGGAGTAGGGTCAAATTAAAGGGTTAAATTATTACAAATATTACGCCATAATTTGTACAGTGTATTTATAAAATTACAGTACAATATTGGAAAGCAGCAAAGCGGAAATTTGACCAAATAACAAGTCAACTATATTAAATGCATTGTAATATACTAACCTTAAATACTGCGCTTGTTTTCACGTTGATGATACACAGATATTTAACGCCATCCAACTTAGAAAGAAGGGCCTCGCTATTGGGAATATAAACACAATTCCTTCGCTTTGACAGACGGATTATTTATAAAGCTAAAATGACAGCACGTCCCATGCAATTTAATATAAGGTAACCTTGGTATAGTAAAACACAAGTCATATTGAGGATCGCAACAATACAGCAATAACATGCTATTTTCACGAAGTTTTGCAGCCTGACAATCTTGTATTTCGAATGCTTCCATATTTGTTTACTCAGAGAGATGTTCACTCCACGACAGTCAAAGAGTCATTGAAGCCACGCCTGGAATTAGGCACTCAAACCCATGATGCTTTGCGGCCTGCTTGTCGAACCTCCTCTGCGCAACAGCGGATGGTTTTGAAAAAAAAGCTGGGTCAGCATTTCCGAAAAAAAATTTTTTCCCCGAGGCGACGGCGCGAAGCGCCGTGCGAGGGTACTAATTTCCCCCGGCTATCTACACCCGGGGAAACGAAAGCATTAGCGAAAGCTAAAGTTCATCAAATATCGCGGGCGTGGGTCACCAACCGTGGGTGGTCATCCTCACTTATCTCAAAAATATGGCGGACTGTCATGAATAGCGAACACTGTGATTGGTCCAATTTTGATAATTTTGTAATTAAAAGTGATATTTTTAAGCGATTTTTCATTTGTAAGAATATTCTTAAGAAATTATCGTGTTACCATGACAACTACTTTAGATACTTCATGTTCGGAAAATACAGTGGTTTTGTCAGCAAGGCGAGGGTTTCTGCATGCATGTATTTTCTAGTCTATATAATAAAGAGGACCTCATCCTCCTGTTCCTCAGACCCCCCACAAGTCCTAGAACCAATTATCATTGTTACTTTCAAACCTTTTGGGTTTGAAAAAAAGCTTGGTCAGCATTTCAGAAAAAATTTTTTCTATATAATAAAGAGGACCTCATCCTTCCGTTCTTGAATCAGACATCTTTGCTACTTTCAAACCCTTTGGGTTTGAAAAACAAAATCAATTTTAGGAATAATTTGACCAAAAATTTTTTTTTCTATATAATAAAACAATGCCCGTTACCAAAGTGTCAGACTTCTCCAAGGGTTCGTTCGCTTTCGAAGATACGGTCGGAAACAGTTAAGGATCTAAGAAGATTAGAATATCGGCATCGGACGGTGGTCCGCTTTTACTTAAGCTCGAAAGTTGTCTGGCTTATGGAATAAACAAGAACAATAAGTTTGAAAAAGTCAACTATTCAATTTCACTAAGTGTTGGCGCACACGAGGAATTCACGTCGGCTCTGGAATTATTGGAAAAAGAGTGTGGTGAACATGTGGGGAAACCGGGTAGTGACGTGATGAGGTGTCTTTCTAGAAAGGGAAAGAGTCTTACCCTTTATGCAAAGATTGATGAAAAAACGCAGATGCGTTCAGAAAGTGGTGACTCTAGTGTCAATCCCATGAAACAGTGGAGTGAACGCTTCCACCTGGACGCGATCGTCAAGATTGAGAGCATTTATGTGTCCGACAAGGTGACCTCCATTCAGGTGAAGCTGTACCAAGCGAAAATTCTGAAGGAAAAGGTAGAGGAACCAGAGGAATGACTTTTGTAATGAGATCAATCTGATACAGAAGCCTAAGGCAGCAGAAATCCGAACAGAACCAATTTTAATGTTTGTAAGAACATTAAAATTTTAAATTAAAGAGCATCAATACAGCTGTCGGGTAAGCTGTTCTCGTACTCAACCTCATCATTGCCGATCATAACCGATCGGTCACTCCACCATATCCTGGACAGATTTCCCATACCATAGCAACGGGCACGTAAAGACGGTATGGAAAACACCCACGACTCTGCGAAATCGTTGGATCGTCCGAAATTTATAACAAACTCGACCCGGTACGTCCAGCGTGAAGTCGTTTATCTCCGCAAGCGTCACATCCTCCGGAAAGGTGAGAAAAACAATGACACCTATTGGCGGACCAAAAGGGATTGCGTTCATACCCATAATTATAGCGTATGGTCCTGTTTCCGTGTCCTCAAACCTAACGTCAACCTCTCTATCAGTTTCTTCGTGTGAAAGGGTGACTCCGGCGTCTGCAAAGTTGGTGTCCCTACACATCTCCAATATGAACTCCGTCATTTCTGCGGAACATTCGAAGTACAACTGGACTCTCCTATACACATCCATTACTTTTATTTTTTATATAAAAATGTTTTGTCTTTAAACTGTTGACCTTCATTCCTTCTTTTCCGGACAGCTTATCTTTTTACTGATCACGTGTTTTCCGACGGGGATTCCAATGGTTTTTATGTCTTTTCTGAGCAGACTTTTTTCCTCGAGTTCTTTTTTCGTTCCTTCAGCGTCCTTAACAGCATCCAACGCCTCCATGAGTTCGGAAAACTTGGTAATGATGATGTCAGCTAGTTGGTTGTTTGTGTTTTCCAGCTGCTGCCTTTCGTAGTCCTTGTATATATTTTCCAACGTTTTTTCGGATGCTTTCTTGATGTATTTTGTAGTGTATTTAATTTCACCCGCGTCAAGCAGTTTTAATAGCTTTTCCCTCCAATCGCTTGTGACATGGGTCTCGGGTTCTACAGATTCGAATATGGTTTCCATTCCTTTATTTAATATGCGGAATAATTGATTTGTGGGTATAAGGTCGGCACAATGGTGCTTAAAAAAGCAAAATTGTGACTTTAGACATTCACAATATTCGCATCAGAACCAACCATCGAACAGAGTCCCTAAACATAGATTACACTGTCCCTTCCTACGACGGAAGGGTTTTTGTTTGAAGGGAAACCAGTGCGACTTCTTACATAACGATTCTTCAAATACTCATTCGACTCAATGGTTCGATTCAAATTATCTTAATCCTTTTTTATCCTATACACAAAGGACAGCGCCCCCAAATTTGATGCAATTCCACCAGAGGAGCAATCACACGCAGGGTCCTCTAGATTTCCCTATGATATCATGGCCTACCCACCCTTGGATACAACCTCTGATGAATACACCAATATACCCACCTCGTTTACGAAGGTGAACACGATAATTAATGGCTCGCTGTGTGAACGTAACAGTATTCCAGCTAGAATTACGTCACGATACAGCCTATCTGGATGTCTATCTTTCCCACGTTCTTTAACAAGTTTCAGAAATATTGCAAGTTACAGTAATATACGTAAACGAACTAGTAATCCATGCAACCTGGTGAATGTCCCTGTAACTGCTAGTAATCTGGAAAACCACCGAGAGTACTGCGCTGTTCCATCTCTCTTTGTTACCAATGCCTGCCACATAGCAAACAAGGTGGACGTACTGTCTGCAGTGGTTGCGATAAACAATCCCTCTGTAATTTTGGTTACAGAATCCTTGTTATCGTCTGATATTTCGGATTCTATTATTAACATAGGAAATACTTACAATTCATATCGACTCGATAGACCTACGCCAGGTGGTGGTATTTTGGCATACATTAAATCTGACCTACCTGCTAAACGCCTTCCTGAACTAGAAGAGGAAGGAAAAGAAGCACTCTGGCTATTATTAAAACCACCCAGAACACCGAGAACTTGCAGTTTCGTCATTGTAGTAGGCGTATACCACCCTCCAGGTCAAAGTAAAGAGAATGAACATGAGATGTTGGACTACCTAACTCAAAAGATGGACATACATTGCTTTAGATGAGCGCCCTTCTGCCCGCATATTAGTAACTGGGGACTTCAACAAGTTGGACTTGAATCCTTTGTGTCGCCGTTTTAATCTACGCAAACAGGTCAAGTCGCCCACGAGAGGTAAAAATATTTTGGACCAGATACTTACCAATATGTCGGATCTGTATGACGAAGTTCTTCACATTCCACCTATCGGACGTTCCGATCACCAATGTTTGATCTTACCACCAAAAACAAGCCAGAAGATGCCCCCCGTTTCAAAGAAATATCGACAAATGAAACCAGAGAGCTTAAACGTTCTGAGACTGAAAATGAATCTTGAAGACTGGGAGAAAGTATATTCCGAATGGGATATCTTTAAATCTATCGTTAACCTGAGTATCAGGCTCTATTTTACAAATAGAGCCTGACACAAAACTTAACCTGATCGCTTTCCGCCCACAGCAAAGTTTATATTTAGTATCCAATCAAAATGTCGCAGGAGAAATTTAAATTTCACACAACGACAACAACAATCTAATTATAGCATAGGCGCTCACTAAACGGCTGAATTTAAATTAAAACTGCAATGAACTTATAAAATTAACAAAAATAATCACAAATTAGCGAAATATATTGCAAATGTAGCTTATATTAAATCGCCACCCGATTGCTCTCTCCTCCGCAGAGGTTTCAGTGACTACAATGAGCTTTACATGGCGCTTGCCGTATTTATCAACAAACAGTGTCAGTGACGTATAATTATAAAGTGTATATATATATATATATTAAGTATACTTTATAACTATACGTCAGTCGATAGTGCAATCTGATGGCGATTTAATATAAGCTACATTTGCAATATATTTCGCTAATTTGCGATTATTTTCTAATTTTACTGCAGTTTTAATTTAAATTCAGCCGTTTAGTGGGCCGGCTATAATTGTAGTTGTGATCGTTATAAAATATATCAACAACAATAGTATAATCTAATTAGCACCAGCCAATCAAATAACAGATTTAAAAATCGTTTGTCTAATCGGCCAATCAGCGCTCAGTCCAGATTCTGGACTGAACAAACCAGGCAAAATGCCACTTTTGTGTCAGGCCGTACTTTTCTCCCCTTCGCCCACGATCAGGCGTGCCTGTGCCCTAAAAAGTACGGCCTGATACTCAGGTTACTCTATCGTTATCTGTATTCTTGATGAAGCCATACCCGGGAAAACAGTTCGCGCACACTGTACGGACAAACCGTGGATGACCTCCAATATTAAAGCGTTGATAAAAGCAAGACAGAGAGCATTTACGAAAGAGGAGACACCGAAGTATAAAAGTTTACACGCAAAAGTCACTAGGCTGATATCCAACGCTAAACCTACGTACTACAAATCCAAGGCTGAAGGCAGCCATCAATCCAATACCGCTAAATGGTATAAAACGATTTACAAGCTAGCCGCAGCAACCGAAAACAAACAATCTCTGACCTCGCCTGACCACGCTGACCTAATGGAAATGGCTGACAGACTAAAAAGAAGTTTTACTAAGCCTTGGCTAGGAATTCAACCAGATCTTCCCAGACTTCAAACGGTAGAGCATTTGCTCAAGGACAGCCACCCACCTCTCCCATCCATTGGCCATGTCAAAACCGTCCTAAAACATCTAAATCCTAGGAAAGCCACTGGGTCGGGTAATATCCCTGCATGGTGTCTTAAACGGTACGCAGAAGAATTAGCACAAGTGGTCTACGATATTGTGGTTGCAAGCATAGTTCAATGCAAATATTCCACCTCCTACAAGCATGCAATCATCAGTCCCATACCAAAGATCCGTCCACCCACAGACCTAGATAATGACTTCCGCCAAGTTTCCGTGCTACCACAACTAGCAAAAGTTATCGAGAAGCTACAGCTCCAACTCAATAAATTCAGTTTCAACATATATCAAAACAAACCAGCACGCTTTCACGAGCGGTCACTCCACGGGCAGAGCCCTTACCTCCATATCTCAGAACTGGTTCGACCCAACGGACAACTCCTCAACCGGTTGACAAGGTGTCCACGCCCTATTTGTTGATTTCCGGAAGGCGTTTGACTTGGTCGACCATAAGATCCTTCTGGACAAGCTTGCTGATATGAATGTAACAAGGACTCAGGTACATTAATGCCTGGGTCTCAGTTTGTGTATTTAGCGAAAATAAACAAAAAATCATAAAAAAATAAGTATGGCCTTGATTATTACCATTCAAGTTTTATATGTTTTATCAAAGGAGTTTCTAAAAGTTGACCTACTTTTCGTTGTCATGGCAACGATCACGTGATGTATATTTCGAAAAACAACACAAAAAATGATACTTTTTATTCAGAGGCTCAGCAGCAGTATATTTCGTGACTGGGAAGACGCAGAATTGCGATAATCATTCACACATAATATCACTGTTTATTGAATAAATTCGGAAAGTTTACATTTAGGCTTCGTTTCATTATTTTATGCGGCTATATTACGATGATCGGCATCAAACGAATGTTAATCGCGTCATTAAATGTTATCTACAAATAAATGTACGGTTTCCAAATTAACGCAGGAAACTTTGTTCCCTTGTTAATGTTTTTAGCTAACAAACATTGCAAAATTTCGTCAAATTACCCTGCTCCAAGTCGAACGCGTTTTTCGCGTGATGAATTTCACGCGCCATAATGAAACAGTTTGCTGCTTATTGTAAGGGATATTATATTTCCAATAACAACATTCATTGCGCATTCAAGCCGATATCTTGAAGCATAGTTAATGCTTGAAGGGAAGTATGCCATGGTGGAAAAGACCGAGTGAACTATATGTGCTATTAATTTGTAATTCACAAGCAATTTTTCATTGAAAATAAGAAACAGTCAACAATTAATACAGAATAATCGCAAGATAGCGCACTTTAAGAAGCTTTTATTTATCAGCAGTTCAAAGGTCAGCTGTCGCAAATGATACAATACTTATTGCTATACAAAGAGCCAATTATTACATCAAAACTGAATAGTATACCGACTTCTTTGCATTGTATATTCCAAAATAATCCAGTCGCTGATATATACTATATTTTTATTTGAAACAAACGCCCGAATTCACTAAAATACTCACACAAGGGGCGAATATTCTAACAGACGCATTACTGACAGATCGCGCGTGCAACACGCGCGCAAGATATCATCCAAGCGTGGGCAGACCCAGGCATTAACATGCCTGAGGAGTTTCTGGTTATGGATAATGAGTTTCCTGGTGGAAAGAACACAACAGGTAAATCTCCAAGGTGTACTATCCTTTACTGCATCATGCCCAGCCGGCGTACCTCAGGGATCTGCTATCTCGCCGACCCTATTCAACATACATATTAACGATATGGAGGAAAATGTTTTTGAACAGGCATGTGTCAACACAACCAAATATTGGGACGATTGCGCTATGGATACGTCCATAAGAGCAGGAAATCTAGCGATTTGCAAAGCTCTCTGGACTCAGTGCAAAGTTGGGCTGTGGAAAATAAGATGGAACTGAATGCCAAAAAGACAAAAGATATGTGGATTAACTTCACCGAAGAACCGCACCCTCTACCACTGCATATAGGAGATGCTATCATAGAAAGAGTCGGTAATTTCAAACTCTTGGGAACCTGCTTTCTAAAGCAGCTGAAATGGAATAAACATGTCGAGGAGACCACTCGCAAAGCAGCTAAAAACTTCTACTGCCTACGAGTAGGTGGGTCTCACCACTTATTTAACTAAAATCAGGCCTATCCTTGAATATTGTTCTCCCGTGTGGGGTGGTCTGCCACGATATCTAAAGGACGAATTGGAACGTGTGCAAAGGAGGAGTCTACGAATTATTGGCCTCCCGCATGGTTACCTGCCAACTCTCGAAGAGGGAAGAATTGAAGCCACATCGAGAGAACTCGATACTATCTTAGGTGATCCAAGTCATATCTTTTATCAACGAACTATGGAACATAATAAACATAAATATAATCTTAGGCGTAGAGACGGTATATTTAAATACGCACTTTTCTCAGGCACTGAACGACACAGAAATAGTTTTATCCCATGAGCAATGAGACAGGGGTTCCATTAACTTGGCTTTTATTAATTTTTTAATAATTTCCTAGACTTTTAAATTTTTACTCCAAATTGTATATATATAAATTTCCGATCGTTTGTAAATATTATTGCATGCCTAGTTATGCTCTTCTTCATATTGATGATCGCTTTCTTTTTCTCAATCGACTTAGGTAGTAGCATATGACCCTTTCCCTTCAGCAGTTGGTATTCTCCGATGTGAATTTCGAGCAGATCCACCATTCGAAGCCTCCACCCACTACCACGCTTTTGGTAAAATGAAAAGGACTCCAACATTTTTCCCTTCATGATGTTAAAAGACTCTTCTGTGTTATCTATACCAATGAGTTTCTGGGTTTTTGACCTGAAGTGTGCGACGGTGGATACTTCTTCCTTAGGTTTCGGATCGTTTCTTACCATTTCACATGCTATGGACATGCTTACATTTCTCGGTTCCGTTTCAGAATTTATGAGCGTCTCAACCTCATCCTTTGTGATATCCAGGAAGTGAACCGGGTCAGACGCTCCATTAGGATTGATGACGTATTTTTTGCCTTCTTTTTGATGCCATGCTTGGTTAGGATGGGTTTTAGGTCCTCTTTCGCATTGACGTCGTATCACTGTTCATCCTGGTCGCTAAAGATTTCTCTTGCGTCGTACCATTGGTCTTCTTCCTCTTTCCCTTTACCGCTGTATAGTTTTACGACCTTCTTCCTCATGGTGTTGAATGCGTCGGATACGCCATTCCTGATGGATGACGGTACGTGGGTGATTAGCAAGTTATACCATCTCTTCAGTCTTTCCGCAATTCCTGATGTTCTTTCAATTACCATTGTTTTATTATATAGACAAAAAAAATTTTCAGAAATGCTGGCTCAGCTTTTTTTTTTAAAACCATCCGCTGTTGCGAAGGCTTTGGGAAGACTTTGGGAAGACTTTGGGAAGACTTTGGGAAGACTTTGGGAAGACTTTGGAAAGACTTTGGGAAGACTTCAGGAAGACTCTAACAGACGCGTGGAGCGGGGGTTTGCGCATGCGTGGTGGAAGCGGTTGCGGTTGGGGTGCGCGAGAGGGGGAAGAGTGGTCGTTGGGGTGATGGTTCCGAGAGGGGCGCGAGGGGATGCTGGGGGTTGGTGGGGGTTGGTGGTGACGTCATAGGTTACGTGAATTTATAAACCGGAAGTGACGTCATCATATACGTGTAGGAGGTGCGTAATAGAATTGTGGATCCACTATAATTTGTATAACGTGAAGTACTTTCATAGTGAGTCAGAACCCGCCATTCCCTACTACTCTCGATAAATGTCATCTCGCATTGCCAACATGACAGTCGTGGTGTTGTGACCTCTGAGGTAAGCACTAACTGATCCTTTAAGTATTCCAGTAGTTGTGAGCTCATCAGGTTCAACTCGCAAGGGTTTAGGGTTAGGGCTAAGTATTCTATGTATGATTTTCCAGGCATCCTTTGGTTTCTTGGATGAAAAAAAAGAAAGGGGTAATTATAGACCGATATCTGTTCTTTTAACTGTCGCTAAACTATTTGAGAAGCTCGTATGCATAAGTTAACAGATTATCTAAATGCAAATGACATTCTAAGCCCGTGTCAGTCAGGCTTCCGTCAGAACCACTCAACAATGTCGTTCTTGTTGTCAAATAGCGATTCATGGCTAGTCAATATGGATGCTGCGCTTGTAAATGGAGTTGTATTTCTTGATATGCGTAAAGCATTTGATACGGTTGATCATGAAATCCTCATTAAGAAGTTAAAATACTACCCCCAAGTGGTTTATTTCATATTTATTTGATCGAAAACAGTTTTTCAAGGTTGAAAGTGCAGCATCTCAACAAAAAATATACGCTGTGGAGTTCCATAGGGTTCAAATCTCGATAAAAACCTAGATAAAATTTAATACATACGATACGCATATAGTTCCATAGGAAATATTTAATCAAAGTTATGAGTCGTCAGAATATTAATTAACGGTCTACATGCAACCTGCACGTTTGCACAGCCAAAGTAACTTTCACACCTATACGCATGCGGCATAAATGCTCAACTTACATAACACACACGGACTACACGGTTAACAAGTGTACGAAATTAAAACAGTCCATTCCCGGAGATAGGTATGTAGCAATGTAGCGTGCAATATACATATGTCCACAACAGACACAGCCTACAGGTGAAACGGAAATCAAGCAAACACACAAAGTGTAACACATGGTGATCGTGCTTCAATCACAGTTACTGGTCAAGAACGTGTTTTCTCAACAAAGCTCATTTCGACTGCCAAGTTTAACATGCCCGATGTTATACCACATGGGACCTATGTAATTTCCATACAGTTATATCAGAAACACGCAAAGGCGAGTAAAGGCCGACTTCCAGTCCTCGCACGAAGCTTATTGCAAGTCGCTGCGAGTGCTTGCATCTAATTAAAATTAATTGTTTAGCATTGTGATAACAAGGTGGAATTTCGTTTTTGACCAATCAGCGCTTTTGTTTACATTTTTGCTCTAAGCCAATCCGAATGCGTAAAACGCGTGATCATAGGTGATCCGAAATACGCGGTATTAATTCAAATTTCAGATTTAATGTTACTCAGTTCCTCAATAAGATTGTCTCTGAACACCAGAAAAAGTCATGGTGACAGAACTCCACCTTGGCTTGTACCTTGCCCTAGCTCGTATATACGGGATGCTTTTCCTTCAACGTAACAAATTCCTTCATGTTCAAGTACTAATTTCGTATGAGCCACCAAGCTTTACCAGTTACCCCTTTGGTGTCATATAACTTGTAAAGCATTCCATTAATCCACATAGTGTCAAAAACTTTTGAAATGTCCATATAGGCTGCATATACTTTATCATTGTCCTCAGAACAGTGGGTTGACACCTCTTCAATTGCAAAACATGTCGTGAGAGCATCTTGTTGTTTTTGATATCCACCCTGGAGCGGACGACGGTAACAATTTTGTTTCTTTTGTAATCGTGACAATACTATACACCTTCCAAAACTTTGTTAATACAGGGCAGCAAGCTTATCCCTACATGATCATCAAACATGTGTGTTTTCTTATTGCCCTTAGGAATTTGGATTTTTACTGCCAATTTGATTATGAACTTGGAATCTCTTCTCTATCGATCACACACGTGTAAAGACTTAATAATACATGTATGATAATTTCTCCACCAAATTTTAGGCGTTCATACGTGATTCCATCTAATCCAGGGGTTTTTCCTTTTGGTAGACTAAAAGACTTTCACTTTAAGTGATACAGTCAGTCAGTCAGTCAGTTTAAATCTTTAATTGCCTCCAAAATGAAGAGTAAATTTTTTACAAAAGAATTTAAACTAGGTATTATAATATTTACAAATGGATAAGATTAACGGTTAAATTATAATAGGTCAATAACTATCCAATCACAAACGGATCAACGACCGAGATTTGGACACAGTACGAAATGTACATCGCGCATTTTATCCTAATGTCATCACTAAAACTGTCATTACTTCTACTTAAAACTGAGTAGTCCCCTAATAAGGTTCTGATAAAACTCTGATCATCCAAGGAATGTAAATCGATACATGTTGTAACTGGAAGATGATCTTGTATCCAAGACCACCAGCTTTCTCTAACTTCTTCTGTCTTTCTGCAATACAATATAGCATGATGAACA